TATATCCACTTAATTTATCATAATTGAAAACTGAAAACCAACAGCAAAGCAATTTGTAATCTTCCAAAATGTCTGTGTCTGTTGATTACAATTGCTGGCTATCTATTACCTGGGAATTACAATGTAGCTCCTGATTAACTTCCTACAAAACAAAGTTTTCTATGTATTGGAGAGTTTCTAAGCATCCACTGTCTCCACTGTCATTATGTACTGTAATCCATTACTAGAAATGTATCGTGAAATAGTGTTTGCACGACTCCCAGTGCTTGTTCAATTTCCAGTACCCACATGGCAGCTAACAACTGTCAGTAACTCCAGTTCCAGGGGAATTCAACATCCTCTTCTGACCTCCTTAGGCATTGTGCAACATGGGTACACTTAGACACATGTAGGCAATACACTCATACACATAAAAAAAAGAAATAAAATAAAGAGAACTTTTTGATGAGATGATACTTATGATTGCTGTTAATGAATAGATAGCTTTCTATTTTTGGACCAATACAACAATGGTAAAATCTACTTTCAGTAATAAATCATAAACCAAGTATGGTGGTGCACACCTGTAATCCCAGCATTCAGATGTCTGATGATCAGAGGATGGAGTGTTTAAGGTCAGCCTGGACTACATAGTGAGATTCTGTCTAAAAACTAATTGTAGTCTGGAGAAATATTTTGAGTGCTTAACAAAATTTAACTTTTAAAAACAAATAGCCATATTGTGATTATAGAAAGCAAAAACCTATATATGTGAATAGTAATAAAAAAGAAAAGCAGGAACAGTGCGTAGTTTTCATAAATATTTATAATACTTAACACTTGATAGCAAGTTTTTATTCCTTCAGTCTCTTTGTGAAGGAGGCAAGGCCACAACTCTCATGCCCTAAGGACGTTAAGCCCTAGAGAGACTGAAGGCTCATTTATTCCTCAAATGAAAAGGTACCAAGTGCCTACATAAGGTCTAGCAATCAAGGGTACGGTGATGAATCATTTATTTTACTTGACTTTAGTATGGAGCAAATTTATAAACAGAAAAGCTGGTAAAATTGGTTATAGTGGAATCACAGATGTTGCAAGTAACTCTGGTTTGGTTGGGTAAGGTTCCACAGGAGGTTATTTTTAAAGCATTCTAATTAAAATATGAATGGGGGTATTTTCCAGGAGAATGGCAGTAGGGCAGGGAAAAGGGCCTTGAAGTGTAAGAGAGTGAATGTAAATATCAATCTTGAGCTGTGAAAACAGCTGGGAACTTGAAGAGCAGTGTGCAATTCAGTGCAACTACAGCATTATTTTCTAATATAAAGATAAATATGTAATTTTTGCTTATCTAAAAACTATTAAAAAGTAATGATAAATAAGTGATTTTAATCAGATATTTTACCTAATCCAATATATCTGAAATAATTTTTTTCATACTTAGCATTTTTAACATCAAATTAGTTGTGTGTTTTACACCTACAAACATCAAAATGGACTAGCATATATACAAAATTAGAAATATGTGTGTATAAGGGAAAAACAGAGAAAGAGGGACAAAGACATAGAAAAACACAGACGGGGAGGGAGGGAAACATCACTGTGCTCTAGGAGGGAAGGAGGAAAGAAGGGATTGTTGGTGCCATTTTTTGTTTATTTTCTGAGACAGAGTCTCCCTGGAACTGGCCTGGAACTTACTATGTAGACCAGGCTGGCCTCAATCTCACAGAGATCTGCCTGCCTCTGCCTTCCAAGGGCTGGGATTAAGGCGTATGCCACTATGCCTGATTGATACCATTTTTTAAAGATCATGTATGTCAGCTGCACTTGAAATTTTAAAAATATTTTGTTATTTTTATTTTATGTGTACAAGTATATTGTGTGCATATGAGTGCACCCGTGTTGTGCAGTGCCGCAGAGGACAGAAGAGGGCTTTGGATTCCCCTGGAACTGGAGTTAAGGACAGTTTGTAGCTGCCATGTGGGTGCTGGGAATTGAACCCAGGTCCTCTGCAAGAGCAGTCAGTGCTTTTAACCACTGAGCCATCTCTCCAGCTCCTGCATTTGAAATTTTATCTTTGAAGTAGCTTGTGTTTCTGAAATTATCTTGGGAGGAATTTTTTAGATTTTTGAATGTTTTTATAGACTGATTTTTTTGCAAAATATGATAATGAATTAGAAGAGTGAAATGAATTAAAAGAGAAATATTATTTTTGTGAGATTTGTAAGATGTGTTTGTTGATTTTGTACTTCTACAACATGATGCCACAGAGTGAGTAATTAGTAATAAGCAGTAATGTATAGGCCCGCTCTTTTGGAAACTGGAAAGTATATGATGAAGGAGCTTTCTTATTGCGTCATAACATATTGGAAGGTATCACATGTCAGAAGGACAAGAGAGGATATGAAAGAGAGAGACAAGAGGTTATGAGCCCATTCTCTTGATAAGGAGCCTTCTCCTGTGATAATGGCATTATTTCATTCATGGGGGTGGAGCTTTCAGGACCTAAACATCTCGTATAAGACTCATTTCCCAGCCTAGAAATATGGCTCAGTGGTTAAGAGGACTAGCTACTCTTGTAGCGGATTTGGATTCAGTTTCCAGCTCTCACATGGTAGCTAGCAACCATCTATAACTTCAGTTCCAGAAGAGTCAATGCCCTCTTCTGACCTCCACAAGCATTGCACAAGGGTGCACTTACATACATGCAAGTAATATGCTCATACATGTAAAAATTAAAAATAATAAATAAAATATTTAAAAGTCTCATTTCTCAATATTGTCAGGATGGCAGTGAATTTTTGATATGTGTTTTGGAGGAGCAATAAAGTCACAGCAGATGAGCAATTAAAAAGGTGTCTAACCCAAAGTTATCCAAACTTCCTGCCATGATAGAAATGTTCAGTCTGTGCTAATTAAATTAAAATAACCACATGAAGACTATTGACTCCTATAGTGGGTAGCCGTGGATATACTTATTCTCAATATCTGTATCATCTATTATAGGCCTGTGTTGATCTGTAACTCTAATTTGAATAACACTCTTCAGCACAGATCCTAGAGCTAGAAAGCCTTTGTGTGTCCCCAAGTTTCATTTTTAAAAATATTTATTATTTTTATGTATATGAGTGTATTTCCTGCATGTGTGTAAGTGCACCCGTGTTGTGCAATGCCTGCAAAGGTCAGAAGAAGGCATTTGATTCCCCTAGGACTAGAGTTACAGATGGTTTTCAGCCGTCGTGTGGGTGCTGAGAATCAAACCCAGGTCCTCTTCAAGGGTAGTCAGTGCCTTTAACTGCTGTGTCATCTTCCCAGACCCTTAAAGTTTCTTTTTTGTATATTTTTAAATTGATTTTTTTGTGTATTTTGTATACAACATCTTAATCATTTTTATACCCCTTCTCCATTGGCACCCACCCATAGTCCCCCCAACCCCTGCACTGGGTTTCATGCATTCTGTCATTTATGTTAAGGCCTAGTGAGTCAAGTTAGTGTCCCCAAATGTTCTTCATCCACTGGGGTCTAATCAGCCTATCTAGAGTAACTCCCTTTAAGAAGAGCAACTCTTCCTCAGCCAGTAGTAATCAGCTACCCAACAGTTCTTCAGCTAAGATGCCCATTTTCACAGTTCTATGCTGGGTTTTTGTCTGCTTGAGTTTTCATGGGTTTCGTGCATGCTGTCACCATTGCTGAAAGTTCGTATGTGCAAGGTACCAGGAACCTGTAAGACTGTTTCCATATGGTCATATACCTCCTCCCCTGGCTCTTACAATCTTTCTGCCCCCTCTTCTGCAATAGTCCCTGAGCCCTGAGTGGTTGAAGTTAAATATATGAGTCCTGTCCAAGGACTCAAACTTTGCAGACTCTTATTCTCTATTCTTGGGCCGTTTGTGGCCCTTTGAGTTCATTGCCCTCAGTTGTTTAAGGGAGCTTCGTTAATGAGAGTTGAGAGATGCATTAGTTTTCTCTCTGCCCTTTGTTTCACTATGTTCCATAAGCCTTAGGTGTAGAGGTTCCATTGTAGATGTGTCACTTAGGTTCAGGCATTTTACAGACACTCAATTTCTGTGTGGCCAGTTGTGGAACTCTGTCATAATCTGTCTGTTGCGAAAGAAACTTCTTCGATGAGTGGTGACTGGCATACTTGTCTGTAAATATAAGGATTCATATTTAGCACATAGTGAAAAAAAGTACATTTGTCTGGGGATAAGACAGTCTTTCCACATGTCTCTTAATCTTTCTATGCTGTTGTCCCTGTTCCTCATTTGTAAAACTAAAGGCAATAAGAGACTACCTCCTCCATTTGGATTGTTATGAAGATTAAATATGTTAATCAGAACAGTGTACTTAGAACAATGTCTGATACATAGCAATCACTTCATAAATGTATTATTTGTATTGTAATTATTGTTTTCATTATTATTATGATGCATAGCACATAATTAAAAATTAACAAACTCCTGTCTTTTTTAAACTCTCTGCTTCTAACTGCTTTTATACAGTTCCTAGTGTATACCCAATTCAATAAATATCATTGAACATAAAAAACAAAATACTCTTTTCCTGAATATGAAAAATCAATTATATTTATTGGAAAGGGGGTTGGGGAAAGCACTAAGAAAAGATGACAACTGAGAGGGCTTCAGAGGTCAAGTTTTTCTAGTGAAGAAGAGCCCATCATGTTGAGGGAGTGTGTACACCCATTTGGATCATGACCCTGTAGAGGGATGTGTAGCAAGTACACTGTGACCATTGCTTCTTCCTCTCCATATTTTAATGTTTTACTCATATGATTCCTGCGTAACACATGGTTCTATACATTTAATACATGATATCCTATTAGTAAGGCCAATCACTGCTTTTTGCTTGTCTATTCCTAGGTGTTATATTGCTTGAATATGATGGGGAGGGTGGACAATGGCTGGAAAAGGAAGAGGAATGCTGCTTGAAAAGTAGTCACTGGGTTATGGACAGATGTCTGTACAGTTTTTTTTCTCCTAAAACATGTTTTCTTATTTACATAGATTATCTTAGGAAGAAAAACAACAGGAAAAATGAAGTTCCTTGTCTTTATATTTGTTGGTTTTCACATTTTATCCCTGGGCTCTGGGAAATCTATATACAAGAATGGCATCACTCAGAGAACTTTTCAAGATATAAAAGAAGAAATAACCAGCTATGAAGATGTTGCTAAAGCAATTATCAACCTTGCTGTTTATGGTAAATCCCAGAACCGGTCCTATGAGAGGTTAGAACTTCTGGTTGATACTGTTGGACCCAGACTAAGTGGGTCCAAGAACCTGGAGAAAGCCATCCAAATTATGTACCAAAACCTGAAGCAAGATGGACTGGAAAATGTCCACCTGGAACCAGTCAAAGTACCCCACTGGGAGAGGGGAGAAGAATCTGCTGTGATGCTGGCACCAAGAATTCACAAGATGGCTATTTTGGGTCTTGGCAGCAGCATTGGAACTCCCCCAGAAGGTATTGTTTGACTTTTCAACTTGCTGTACTCTTCTTTTTAATTTAATTTACCCCTCTCTTTCATTTTCTCTTTTTGTTTTTGACACAGTAGTCTCATGTAACCCAGGCTAGTCCTGAGTTCCTTATGTGGCTTGAACTTCTGATCCTCTGTCCTCCACCCTTTGAGTGCTTATGGAGTGTGCTACCACATCTGATTTAGGATGCTAGGGATCAAACCCGGGACTTTGTGCTTGCTAAGCAAGCACTTGACCAATTGAGATATGTCCTTAGCCCCTGCTGTTCTTCTTATACAACTGATGTCACTTGGCATGATTGATTACAATCTATATGATTCCTACTGTAGAAAACATAATATCTTCCATTCCATTTACTTATGATTTCTTAACTTATTAACTTTTTTCTTCTTCCTTCTTCCTTTCTTCTGTTTCTTTTCTGAAAGAAAACATTGTATGTGGTAACTTTTAAAATGGAGGCTATATAGCTACTGGCCTATAACAGCCATATCACTTAATAATGGTAATTTAGTATAAAATTGGTGTTATTATATAGAGGATTAAAATATATGTAAGTAGGCTACAAAAGTTACCAAGGTGTTTCAATGTGCAGAACTTTTAGAATGAACGAGTTTGAGTATAGAAACTGAATTGATTTGAGTTTATTATTTTTATAGCCGTAGACATCTACATCAAGAATTATCAAGAGTCAGGTTTCCTCTATACTTATCAGTACTCTATCTAAGCTTGATCAAATAATATAATGCTTCAGTGAGAAATATATAACCAGTTGGCTATCACCTACCAGTCAGATGTAAATATGTTCATGGATTATATGAAATATGTAAATATGTTCAATGATTCAATGAGAAATATATAACCAGTAGGCAATCACCTACCAGTCAGATGTAAATATGTTCATGGATTAATTTTCTGTAGAAGAGAAAGCACTTTCTAGTCTTTTGACTTTCTCTTATGTCAAGAGACAGACCCAGTAGCAGCATAGATTGTTACTTAAAAATATTTATTGAGGGGCTGAAGAGATGGCTCAGTGGTTAAGAGCACTGAATGTTCTTGAAGAGGACCTGGGCTTGATTTCTAGTACTCACATGGCAGCTAACAGCTGTCCATAACTCCAGTTCCAGGGGATCCAATGTCCTCTTCTGACCTCTGTGGGCATTTCACAACAAAGGTGCACTTACACATATGCAGGCAATACACCCATATACATAAAATAAAAATAATAAAATATGCTAAATAAAAATCTTTATTGAAGTTTAATTCATATACTAAAGTATTTATCCATTTAAAACCTATAGTGCAATGGTTTTTAATGTATTTACTATTCACTGTGTTGTTCAACCAAATTGTAGAACACTTAGGTTATAGAACACTATCCAAATGTAGAACATTTTATCACCCTCTCCCTAAAACTTCATAGCTAGTAGCATCCCTTTAATCTTCCCTTCCTGCTCTGTAAGACCTAGGAAATGGCTAATCTTTATGCCTTCATGGACTTGCCTTTTCTGGACATTTTGTGTGAATGGACTAATAAGCTGGGCCTGGACTTTTCATTATGGGAAGATTTTAATATTAAATTCAGCTTCTTGTCTACTCAGATTTTCTGTTTCTGTTTTAATCATTTATATTTTATCAATTTATCTGTTTTATTGAATCTATACTATTTTTTGGATGAGAGTCATTCTCTTATAATTATTCTCTTATAATTATTTTATTTATGCAAGGATAATGGTTCAAATCACTGTCTGTTATTTATTTTAGTCACAGAATTTCCTTTAGTGTTTTTTAGTGTTTTTTAAAAAGCAATCTGCTAGTACCAAATTCTGTAAGCCCCTTTCACCTTTAGTTCTTTATTTAGCATTAAATTTTGAAAGACCTTTTTTACTGAATAGATGACTTTTGGTTGATAGTGTTTCATTTTCAGCATTCTGAGAATGTCATTCCATTGTCTTTAGAATTCCATAGTTTTGGATAAGAAGTCAGTCGGAAGTTAATTTGGGGTACATGTCCTTGAATTTGATATGTTATTTATCCCCACTGCTTTCAGTATTTTCTGTTTGTTTTTAATTTTCAACATTTGACATAGGTAGGAATGGATCACTTTGCTTTATCTTACTTGGGGATTATTTTTTCAATTTCTTGCATATGTAGATTGATATTACTCATCAAATTTTGGGGAAATTTGGACTACTAGTCTCACAGATATTTTTCTTCCTCTCTTCTCTGGTGCTATAATTATGAGCATGTAGTTTTATTTAATGATGTGCTACATCTGTCTGAGACTGACTGTTTTTTCCTTCTTTTTTCCTCTCTGTTCTTCAGATTGCATGACCTCCATCAGTCTATCAGCATCTTCAGTGAGTCTCTCTTCCATTAGTGAAAATCTACTATTCAACCTCTGTACAGTCTTTTTTCAGTGCTAGAGTTTTCATATTGTCTTTTAAAAATCACTTTATTTCTTTATTGATACTCTCCATTTGATGAGACATTGTCATCATGCCTTTCTTTAATTCTTTATGTATTACTTTAAGTATTGCTTTTATTTCCTTTATCATGTATATAGTTGCTGCTTTGAACTGTTTATCTTTTATGTTCTCTATCTGGTCAATTTCTAGTGTGTGTTTTATTCTGTGCATGGACCACAATTTTTAGTTTCCTTTTATGTCTTATAATTTTAATTGAAAAATAAATATTTTGACTAATATATTGTAGAAACTCTGTGTATTGATCTTCTCCAATTGTAAATTCATTGAAGGCTGAAGTTTGTTGTTACATTGAATATTAATTTGTATAATGACTTGCAATAATAACTATGCAAAGTCTGTGTATTTCACAGTATGAAGCTCTTCAGGTTGTTTTTATTTTGTTAACTTTTTCTTATCCTATTTCCCAAGGAGTCACCTTGGCTCTAAATAAGCCAATCATTCTTCAAAGGCTATGCTTAGATTTTCTCAGCCAAATACAGTTTTATGCATTATTGTGGGATGTTTGTGAAAATTGGAATCTGTTTATTACAAATTAGAGAATCTATGCTTTTCTCCCAATTTTGCTTAGTGCATAGATTTCCCTTTCTAATCATTGCTGTGATGGTACAGTCTTGGTTCTTCCAGACTGCAGAACACATGTGTTTTAATTATTAAGCCTGGCTTAATAGTATTTTTCTTGGGATCAGAGCAGTTAATCTTTCAACTAGTGTTTGGTCAGAGGTTGGACTTAAGCCCCTTGAGCCATTGAAGCTTCTGCTCTTTGTTGATAGATCTGTGTGCAACTTAAAAAATGTTTGCAAGTCTGACTTATGTCTTGTTATGATTGCTTCCGAATAAGACGTGTGCAATTTCTTTTTAAATTTTTCCTTTTGAGTTGTACTAAATATCAAACCCAGGACCTCTTACATATTAGGCAAGTGCTCCACCACTGTGATACAGCCTCAGCCTCACATATACTTTTCTTACTGTCTGTGAACTATATGCATGTGCATGTACTGGAGACAGGGTGCCTCACTACCCAGGGCTTACTGTGATACCCACCGTTGTTTTTAATCCTTCCTGGCTTCTTTCCATTAAGGTTCTGTATGCTCTGCCACTTTGTTTGTTGCCAGCAGCATTATGAAGAAACCAGCATCCTAATCGCTCTCTCTTTTTTTTTTATCAATACCTTTTGACATGGACATTTTCATGATCTGCTCCAAAATAAAACCACTAACCTCAGTAAGAACTGTGGAACTTTTAATCCACAGGAATTGCCTCTTCCCCCAGGAGAAAATTTGTGGTACTGCACAGAAGCAAGAGACAATGACAGCAATTTGTTTCTCTAAGAGTGATGTCCCCAGCAGGTACTAGACAGGGAAGATGACAGTGACTGGTCTTCTAGGATTATAGTCCCAGTAAAGAATCACTGCCTATGAGCAAACTGAGATGGAGGCCATCAGGTTCCAGCATTTTCTTTGGCTATAAAGTACTTGGGACAGAGTTTCCACTCTAATGAGAACCTGGGTAAAAAAATGGAGTCTCAGTCCTCTTGGCCATGCCTGCCTGGAATAGATCCCCAACACGGGAATGTGGTTGAAGGAATGAGAAACACTGATTACCTGGCCTTCTAAGGGTTAAACCACACACCTAGACTGAGAACTCTGTGTATGTGTGTATAGGCGAGGGAGTGCCTTCCATTTCCTTGGCTATACTTACCCAGAGTATAATGGCAGTAAGATCCTTTCTATAACATGAGTCTTAGGGTGGGAAAAGGAAGCAAACCACAGTCCAAATGCCATAGACTATCTCTATTCTGTCTATGAGCTAGTAGATTTTCTTGCACACATATTATTCCATTTTCTGTATGTTCTTAGGAAATTTCAGATATTTTTCCTGACATTTCATTTAAATTTTTTTCTAGTAACTTTTTGGGAGAGTAGGAGAGAGACTTCCAGCTATCTCATTTGGGAACTATCATTGTGATGTCCAGTTTTGGTCTCTCTAAGGTAGCATCAATAAGCAGCTAGCAAGACCCACAGCCCAAGTTCTAGAGTGTCAAGTTGGGATTTTGTTACATTGCCTTCTGTGTTAGGCACAAACTTATGTCTTCAATTTTAAAACCCTCCAACTATCCTTAAAAAAAACTAGATTTTCTTTTCTTGTACTTGTTTAATTTTTTGCACATGAGAAAACTAGACTCCATTTGGCTGCATAGTTTTCCCAGTGCTATATAAGTAGTAAAATGTTATGCTCAGGCCTGAACAGCTCCGCAGTTTGTATTTTTTATCATTAGATGGATTTGTCTCACAAATATTTTAATGTTATTTGATTCATAAGAATCCTATTTGTAGCCTCTGGCTAAAGCAAATCTTTTTTAGAGGCTGCTGATACCTGACCTGTGATTGCAGAATATATTGGTTTCTTCATCTTCTTTTTGGGCCAATTTCTTTTATTATCCTCAATCCTCATTCTGTAGTAGGGCTCGCTCTTCCCTGGATGTCTGCCTGGTAATGAGAAC